TGACCCAGCTGCAACGCGTAGATGCCAATGTCCATGAGAACCGACCCCCCCAGAGACCGGCTGCACACCCGTTCCATGTGCGCCAAGCGAAAGCCGTGCTGGATCTTCACCTGAGTCACCTCGCCAATGACGTCGTTGTTCAGGAGTTCCCTCAGACGCTCGTAGCTGGGAAAGAAGCGTGACCACATGCCTGAATACAAACCATTATCAACTATTAATATTCTTCTACTTCTGCTTAGTATGCTTGCTGATGTTATTACCCTCCATGAGGAACACGCCGCGCTGCTCGGCCACGGCGTACAGCTCCTTGGCCTGCTCCAAGCCCAAGCACATGGGAGTCTCACAGAGCACATTTTTACCCCTGGCCAACATGAGATGCACGACTGCATAGTGGTATGGATTCAGGGTGCCCACATACACCACATCCACCTCTCGATCCAGAGCCAGAGCATCGAACCCATCATAGTGCCTGGGTATCTGATTCCTCTGGGCGAACTCCTGGGCCCGCTTGCCTTCCACATCGGCCACGGCCACTACTACATGACGGGACTTCTCCACGGTTCCCAGGGCGGTGACAAAGTCCTGCGTAATCCTGCCCGCTGCCGCGATGCCCCAGTTCAGATTCGCCTGGCTCTGCATTGCGACTTCCGATGTGCTGAATGCTATGTGGGTATCCGTTCTGCTTTCGAGTCGAGTCTCGCGCGGGCCCGTGTCCGGGCAACTACTGACGCCATGATAATGATACTGAGTGCCAGTCCCGAGGGTCTCCTATCAGTCCCTGGCATCTGCATTCATTGCAATTTTCGTATTCCATTGCATTCCGGCTGATAAGGAAGCAAACAGATCCGCACTCTGGCGCTCTAAAAGTTGCATTTTCGGGCGACAATACTTGGATCCATATAAACCATGTGGAACATACCGTTCACTAGCCTTTTCGCTGACTTAAATCTGGAACCCATGTGAACCATAGGTTTCTAATGCTTAGGCCCTACTAGGTTCGTCCATAGTGTTTCCAAACTGATCACACGGTTTTTCGAATCTTCAAAGAGCCCTTGCTATGAAGTGTTCTTTCCTACGCAATTGCACTTATCTTATCTTTCAGAACTAAGACGAGCCCCCTTTTTTGACCACTATCTACAAAACCTACGATTATAAAACCTAAAAAGTACAGTTGGTTAGAGCAGAATACGTCGGAATACATGAAATATACGATAATAATGTGAACTATGTTAAAAAGGTTCTAGAACGTTTTAGAATATTAGTCTTGGAATATATGCAACATAAAAAAAGTTATACTTCGCGGTATAATCTATTTTATAGATATGTGGGTAGACATTGGAAAACCCTGAGATAAGGAACTCTGCGCTTTTTTACCAGCCCCTAAATTAAAAGGCGGTATCATGCGGCAAACACGTGATCGAGAATTCTGCCAAGTCAGTCACTTTAGTTACACCCCAGGCAGAGTTCGACCTAGTGGGAATGTCATCGCTGCCGTTCCACAATCAATAGTTCCCCTTATCGCATTGTTTGCTAATCCTTGATCTAGAGTGGGGCACTGAAAAAACACCACAAGGGGGGCAAACTTTTTGTGAGACCAACTAGAAACTTCAAACTATATTGCTTCCTTATAGAATAATTATAGGAAATATATGTTGTGTTTATTATGTTAGGGTGACACGTTTATCTATAAAATCTACATTTACTGCTCATCGTACTTGTTGAGCACACCGATCTGCTTGCGGATGGTGTCCTCAATCTCGGCAAAGAGCAAACTGTCGGCGTAGGTGACGTTCTTGTTCTCGACATCGCCGGCGATGATGGACTGACGCACTGCCTCCGCCTCATAGCGCATGGCCTCGGAGTTGGCATAGTTGGTCTCGTACTTGCCCTTGGGAGGCAGCCACTCCTTCTCCTGGCCATCGATGTCGATGAGCTTGTTGGGCGTCCAGAAGTCAATCAGCTGGTAGATAACATGCGACTATTAGCTTCTGTGCAATCACAATCGATTAGATTACTTACGGTGACTTGTCCTTTGGTGCCCTTGATCACGGCGGTGTTGGAGAGCTTCTCCTTGGAGGAGAAGCGCATGCGAGCAGTGCGTCCACCACTGTAGGTCAAAGTGGCACTCACATCGTCGTCGATGCCCTCGGCGTTCACGGTTCCCTTGGACTCGATCTTCTCCGGCTTCTCCTGGAAGGCCCATTGCGAGACCTGGATGGTATAGATACCCAGATCGTAGACCACACCGCCTCCCAGATCGCGTTTCCTTTAAGTGATGCACAACATGAAGAAGTGTCATTTCATGAACGTTTTATGTACTTACTGCAAGCGGTCCACATGGGCCAGGGGGAAGCCAAAGTTGACCTCCACATCCTTGACTTGGCCCAGCTGTCCGCTGGAGATGAGCTCCTTAACGCGCTGGTAAGAGGGGAAGAATCGCGACCACACGGCCTCCATGAAGAAGCGCTTCTTGGCCTTGGCGGCGGCCAGGATGCCCTCCACCTGCTTCTTGTTCATGGCCAGAGGCTTCTCGCAGAGAACGTGCTTGCCATTGTTCAGCATCAGCACGGCGACCTCGTAGTGCTGGGGATTCAGGGTGCCAATGTAGACCACATCTGGGGAATTCAATTAAATATGTTCGTTAGATTTTTTCTAAACAGTGCAATATGCACTTAAAGTTGTACCCACCGACATCGGTGCTCTTGGCCAGCTCCTCGTAGCTTCCGAGGGCCTTGGGAATGCCGTGCTTGGTGGCGAACTCCTGGGCGCGATCAAGAGCTCGGGCGGCTACAGCCTGAACCTTGTGGTCGCTGGCGGGCAGGGTGCTGAGGGCGATGACGAAGTCCTCGCTGATCTTGCCGGCTGAAGCGATTCCCCAACGGATGAGTTTCGACATGTTGCTGGATTGTGGAGCTGGCTACGAATGAGTGGGAAGCCGAGTGGATTGTTGGTTAAATATGGGTGGAATCTACAGAGAGCCCTCCTTATCACCGATAATGCGAGAGAATCGAACACTATATCTCACTCTCCACCGGCAGTTTATCTCTTTCCAATTGTTTGGATGAAAATCGACCAGAATTAGTTGTGCTATTTCACAATGTTATTGAGTTTGACCTTGTTTGAGTATTACTTGAATTATTCTGGATGCCACCTGTACGGGAATTCAAAGTTATCAGTGATTGAACGAGCCCTCCTCTATTGGCCAATAGTTTCCTCATTAAGTAAAAACACTTGTCACGTTCGCCGTGCTACACAGAGATAAAAATTACAAAAATAACATTTTAGGCCATTTAATTAAAGTTCTGGATTAGTGATCAGACTCTCGCTTTTATATTTTTTGGTATTCTTTCATATGTATTTTATGAATTTAATTTTATTTTTGGTTGAAGATGTTTCACTTGAATAAGGATTTTTTCAGTGTAGCGATCATTCCTACACAACCAGTTTACATGTAAAGTTTATTATGTATTTACTCCCACAACTAACTTTGTTATTTACTTTTCTTTTTCTATATAAAAAGAAACTACCTTAGGGTTTTAATGAGCCGGGAATGTGTGGTAGTTTGTTTATAACAATAAGTTATAATAACACTTCCGTAATATGATTATAATTATGCTATTACTGAACTCCCACACACATTGTATATACCAAAGACTTACGCTGAACTGGTAGCAGAACTAAGCGATAAAACTTTCCACTGTTGTTTTTATGCGCGACAGTTCTATTTATAAGCAATTTTCTGTGCACCCGGCGAGAACAACAATTCAATTCGTTCGATTTACTAGCCAAGTAAGCTTTTGACGCTTAAGGTGGGTGTACCAGCTAATCATGCCGTTGTTCACGTTTCGTGGTGAGTGCCATTGCAAAGAAGAAGACATCAGCTGTTCATTGTTTTGCTCGCAGATTCAAGAGGACATCGCCAAAAATGCTGCGAAAACTATTATTTAACACTCAAGTTGTATTAAAACAGCAGCCAAAGGTGAGTTATATTTAAATCCGTTAGATAGAGATGGCATACCAATTGTTAATTTCCAGTTACATCACATAAGGCACTTGGCAACACCCAAGATATTGCAGCTTGAGCAAATTCACATTGATGAAGCCATCAAAATAGAACCCACGTTATCTATATACTCACCTGAGATCTGGCGCAGGGCTCATGAAACTTTTCAAAATCACGGCTTGGAAACAGGGAATTTCCTTAGAATAGTTACCGGCAACCCTGCGATTCTGAAAAGAACGCCGGACAAAATAATAAGCAGCCTAGAAATCTGGAGGGCCTGTCAATTCGGCGAGAATCTACTGCACCTGCTCCTTACGAAATATCCCGAGTTACTGGACGTAAGCGACCATCATCAGTTACTTTCCCACATCGGCTTTCTGAAAAGTCGCGTCTCCACCAGCAAAAATGTGTGGAAGTGTTTGATGAACAGTCCGGACTTGATAGCACAATCCGAAGAATGTGTTGAGGAGAAACTGAACTTCATAATAGACGTGATGCGCATTGAAGTGCCAGAGTTGGCAAAATCAGCAGCCCTGACATTGTCCTTCGAGGAGCTGCGTTGTCGCCACGAGTTCCTGGTTCGCCTGGGCCTGTTTAGGCCTCGACCTCCGAAAGCCGATCCAAATGAGCCGACAACGAATCCCAAACTGTATCAGATTACGGACACTTCCGAAAAGAGTTTTGCAACAAAGATATGCCACGTCACCCTGCCGGAATACGAAGCCTTCAAGGATCTCTACGCCAAGGAACTGGAGCAAAAATCCAGAAGGAAGGAGCAGGATGAGTTAAGCGATGAAGATGACTAAATATGTTTATAAATTGCGCCAAAAAAATAAAAGCTTAGAAAATAGGACCTAATGGTATAGTTTTGTAGCTTCCTTGAAGAGACCTTCATTCATAAATATAAATTTACTGACTTCTCAGCGGAAATGCGTTTTAGTAAATGTTATCGATAACAACTGCAGCGAATACCTGTAAGACTATCGATTACATATCGCACTTAATCTGCAGCTGCAACAAATACAACGTAACGTAACGAGACGCGAATTGCCATCTCTGAGCAAATACAACGATATTCATAATATCATTCTTTAAACTCGAAAACGCGAGACAAACTAGCAAGCTTTAATTGATTTCATCAGAGAATCAATTAGGCTATACAACCAACTCGCGTTTTTCGAATTGACCTGGCATTTTCCTCCACGGGGCCGGCCAAAAAACCGATTTATCCACGGGTAGGGTAGAACGGTAACCTAAGCCCACAAAAAAAAAACAACAAAACATGGAAGTGTGTTAACGACGTAAGTGTCATTTCATCCCGATATCATTCGGCGTCCGACTAAAGTTGGCTGCAAGCATTTTAAGTGATTTTTATTTTGTGATTTTCAATCGTGTGCTTTGTTTGTGTTGCGTTGGTGTGGGTAAGTGCGTGAGTGTGTTGTGCGTCGGTGTGAGTGGCTGCGCATGTGTGCGGCAGTGCGAGCGAGATGGCGCCACTCGAGTAGCGGTTGTCAAAAACAGCTGATCCGGCCCAGGGGTGTGTGGGCAAAGGGGAAGGCGACCGCGGGGGCGGGGGCAGCACTCACCTGTAAGCTTTCGCTGAAAATTTACGATACAAAAAACAGTTTGTTGAATTTCAAGATTCATATAAAAATGGTAACATCCTCATAAAAGTGCTGCAAAACGTACAGTTTTCAGACTCCCCCAAGTGGTTTGTGCGCTGTGCAAGATTTTCCGTCGCTACGAATATATGTATATACATATATATTCAGGGTCAGGGTCCTGTGGGCAATGGATAAGTTGTACATGCATAAGTGGGAGCTGCTGATATCTAATCATTCAGGATTAACGATAGTGCCCTACTATTTAGTCCTAACGTGCACCAAAAAAAAAAAATGAAGAATAAAAGACCATTAAATAATTAATTCTAAAAAATGTTTTCTTGCTTCAAATTAGTGTTAATTTTAAAATAAATGAACTATATGTCTAAGCAAAAGTTGGATAAATGTAATAAAGTTGTAATCTTTTTGAGATATACTCATTAGATGATTCAAAACACTATCCGATTATAGCAAAGCATATATGTACATATGTGCATATATAATATAATATATGAATGCGATGTATGAAAACTAGTGATGATATTAACATTGGCATGGGATTCTTAGGGATTCCGTGATGCAGGCTCATGAGTGCGCGGTTTCCGATGTTTTTGAGCAGTGATGAATTGTAAGCTGTCCAATGCATGGAATGAAAACCAACGCAGTAGCATTTAAAACGCTGTCATTATCAAAGTTTCTCTGAAAGTAATAAATCAATCATATCTTGCAGGTGCTTTAAGGGGCAACTTTGCTCGAGTCTACCGAACCCCCGGATCCCGCGAGCACAGCTTCTGTCCGGAATGCCCCTGAACGATGTGGGCCCCGCCGGTGGTGGAGCTTATCCGGAAAATGGAACCAAGCACAAGGTGTCGGGAATGTGGAAGCCGGACTCGTCAGCCGGCCCCAATTCCGGCTCGGGATCGGCGGGACTATCCCTGTTCGGCCTGCAGGGCCAAAAGTGGCAGCAGGTCTTCGACATGGAAAAGGTCATCAAGCAGCTGCGAACGGCTGAGAAAACTTATCTGCGTGGTGGAAAGAACTCCTCCGCCGGTGGAGATCAACAGGCAAAGGTGCAGGTCCAGCGGCTGCAATCGGCGGACATGGCCTACTATGATCTGGCGCCGAAGCTGGCCAGCCGCGATATAGTACTCTGTAGTTCCTGCTCGGGATGTTACACGAAGGCAGGTTTCCAGCACCACATTGCGCTGCAGCATCCTAGCGTTTGGGAGGCCACATCCAGCAAGGTGAATCCCAATCCAAATGGGACAACCATATCCAGCGACTCTCGTCTCACTGCCACGGAAATCAGCCAGGAGGGCGGCGCTATTGTGCCAAGTTCGCCGACGGACACACTTTCGGCCTCGACGCTCTCCAGCTGCTCGAACGGATCCAGCAGCTCGGCTTCACTGCAGCATCCGGCTGCTGCGGGTTCATCTAGCACCACTTCGTCATCGTCTTCGTCGCGTCACAAGAGCAGCAGCAGCAAAAGTAGCAGTTCCTCCTCGTCTAAGGGCAGCAGCAGCACTTCCGCCGGAAGTAGGTCGCGTTCCAAGTCGTCAAAGAACCGCCACCACACCTCGCCAGCACCGGCCTTGCTGGAGTCCAACCACAAGGAGTCCAAGGGATCAAAGAAGAGTTCGGCTATAGCCGCTCCTCCCATCGTCGCTGTTGTTGTCAAGGAGGAGCCACCATCTGTAGGCGCTGCTCCGGCCATAACCGTGTTCTCCTCCTCCAGCAACTCATCCTGCAGCTTACCACCCACTCCCACGTTGGGAGTTGCCTCCAGCGAGGTGGCGATGGGGCTCAACTATTCACCTGCCCAGCTTCAAACGGATGCGGAAAAGCTGTCCGAGCTGCAGCCAAAGAAAAAGGTATTTCATATAATTTTATCTCAATTTACGCAATGAAACGATTACCAATATCTTTCAAACTTCAGTTGAAAGGCTCCAGCGATCATCGAACAAAAGCGGATAAGGAGAAGAACAAAGACAAGTCTGTGGTTCAAGTGCTCAGCGAGTTGGACCAGGCAGTGTCTTCCATCACGGGAGCGGCTTCCGCCGAACAGGTGGCACCCGATGAGGAGGAACTGCCTTTGCCCAATACCTCCGACGAGAACTCCATTTCGCAGACGCTCGACGAAATGCTGGACAGCAAGTTGATCAACGAGATTCTGAATAATTTCGATGAGAGCGCTCTGGACACATCGCAACAGCAGTCACAACAGCAATCGCAGAATGGAACTCTTTCGCATCCCGCACAGGCCACCAAAAGGCTACGCTTTGAGGACGGAACGATTGGCGAGGATTACGCCGTCTATCAGCAGCAGTCGGTTCAGCAGGTTTACGGCGAGGAAGAGCATCAGCAGGAGCTGACCACCATCGATGCCATGCAGTTGCAGCAACTGATCTACCAGCAGCAGCAAATGCTCGAACAGCAACAGCTGCAAGAGCAACAGCAGCAGCAGCATCAGGATCAGAAGCTTCAGGATCACGAGCAACAGCGCCAGTTTAGCGTCTACAACGTGCCATCCCTGACGGATGAGGCAATGGTCAATCCCCAGCAACAGCAGCTGGAGGAGCACATGATCCTGCCCAGTATTATATACGAGATCAGCGAGTCGAATCCCGTTTCTATGCTGGAGCAGAAGGTCTTAGCCGAATTCCTAACCAATGCGGGATACGAAAACGTGGACGTAAATGTCGTGCAATCGGGCGGCATACAAACCACCTTGAGTACTGGAACGGAGGCAAACCAACTGGCGGATGAACTGGGCGACTTTGAGTTCAGTAAACTGGAGACTGTTAGCGACACCGTAAAGACTGTTAAGCTGGAGGCCAAGGCCGCCAGCCAGCCACCCACAACTAATCCTCAAATCAACCATCATCCATCACTGGCCAATGCCAAATACCATGAGGACAGCTACTTCAATGTGATGCTGTACTCCGGGGCGCCTCGTCCCTTGGCCATGAACACGTTCGGCATGGTGAAGTTGCCCCAGGGCCTGGGCGTTACCTTTCGCAAGAATCTGCTGACCACGCGGAAGGCGAACAACAATTTGTTATCTCTGTCGGGTGGTAGCCATCTGGGCGTGGTTGGTCAGCTGGCCCGCACACCGCCGCCACCCTCGCCAGCGTTAAGCAATGGTTTACCTGGTAAGAATCCCGCGTCGGGCAGAACCATTTACGCTCAGCGATCGAATGTCATTGCACAAGATCGACTAAGGTGCAATAAGAGGGCGCTGGTAGGGGGAAAAGCAGGAGGTGGATCTATTGGAACGCCGGGAGTCATGACGGCCAGGCGTTTGAATGAGCTGCTAATGGGAAAGGTCAAAAAAGAGGAGAAGCCACCACCGGAAGGCGAGGATGGGGGCGAGCAGCCGACGAAGGACAGGGAACGCGACAAGGAGGAGGATAACAAGCTGACCTTCAGTTTCTACGAGAAACGCCGCCGCCTGTTGGCCGGCAAGCAGGAGCAACTCCAGCCCCTCGGCCGCCCCAGCTTCACCCTGCCGCTCCAAACAAACCACAACGCCAGCCAAAGTCAGAGCCACTCGCCACAGCAGCTCCTCAAGAAGCAGCTGCTACGCACCTTATCCGACAGCAGCAGCAACATGAACATCAGCAACATGAACAACATCAGCAACCTGAACAGCAGCAACACTCCCAGCGCCAACACCAATCCTCCCTGGAAGGGGAACAGTTCCAATCCGGGAGGCAACTCCACTCCAACCAGCAGCGACTTGATGCGCGTCTTCGTCTGATCTGATCTGATCTGATCTTATCTGATGTGAAGGTCAGAACGGCGGACTCGCATCCCTAGTTATACGTTTATACAATATGATACTATTATGTGCAGCCTCTTCTCTAAATGCTAAATTAATTTTGTAATAATTTTTTAAATCAATTCTTCATTTTTTAAAAGTGATAATTAGTTATCGATTAGTTGATTGTATGTAGTTCTCTGTTTAGTCTATGCCCTAAGTTAATTTAACCATTATACACATTAATTTTTCGTGGCTAAGCATTACGCTAGGTACTCGTGAATCATTATTTATACACGCTGTAAACTTTTTAAATACAAGAGCATGCCTAAGTTCAATTATACTTCGGATACACCGTTTCTTCATGGTGTATATCTTTATCCCCACTTGCGGGTAGCATTCTACTGATGTGTATGAACAGACTTATGTTGTATTGAGAGCAGTAACTGGCGAGCAGGGCAGAGCAGCTTGAGTTATCTTCTGCAGCTCAGTTTGGTGGCGATAGCCGGTCAAGAATGTCGCATCCTCTGCGTTGCTATAAGGGAGTAGTGCTGGCACTTGTGTTCATATTGTTTTGCGGGCCTTCCGAGGGCTGCGATGAGGACGAGGAGTTCGAGTGCCTAGAAGATGGCAGGTGCATTCCCATCGAGAGCTTTTGCGATGCCAAACCGGATTGTCTCTATGCCAGCGATGAATCTTTCACTGTCTGCAAGGCCCATCCGTCGGACATGATGGCGGATAAGTACCACTGTGCCACGGGGGCAGCCATCCCGGCCAAATTGGTCTGCAACGACATCGTCGACTGTTCCGACGGATCCGACGAGCTGCCACAAGTGTGTCAAGGTGATCGGGGCGATATGGAAGAGAAATTTCGAGGCAACTGTACGGGGTAAGAAAAATTGCAATGCCAAAGCGTGTTGCATTCCTTTGCATCTGTTACTATTATGACAGGGATACGGATTTGGAGTGCCTGCCTGGGGAATGTGTGCCCCATTCGGCGAAGTGCAATAACGTGATCGACTGCTCCAACGGCCGAGATGAATCCCTGGAGATCTGTATGCAGGCCTGCGAGGCGGACAAGTGCTTCCAGTGCGCCAACGGAGTTTTGCTAGACAGTAAGGACCTGTGTGACAACAAGATGGACTGCTTGGACGGCTCCGATGAGTTGTCCAATGTATGCGGGAACGCCGACAACTGGAAACAGGTTCCGCCGGCTGTTTGCCACGAGACTGTGGAGCACAGGTTCACCAATAGGACAGTCTTTCAAAGAGGCAACGCACAGCGCTTCGTTTATGCCAATCAAGCGGCGGAAGTGCAGTGCTGGAACTCCGACCGGAAGTCCTGGAACGTGTGCATGAACAATGGCTCCTGGTTCCACGACTTCCCACCGTGCATCGAGAAACTGGTCAACAGAAACCCAGACACAAATGGCACAAATGGATGTCCGATTAACTGGTACAACAACGAGACTATGATAATAATCAACTGGAACGACGATAGTGAAACCATCGCCTTGCCGCCCATTCAAAATTCAAGAGTGACCTTCAGATGCAGGGAGGATATGATTTTCTTGCCCTACGAGCTTAAAGATAAACCTGTTACATGTCAGGCCAATAAGACCTGGATCGAACTGGACTTCCATCCCCGATGCACCAGTAAGTGTTTTTAACAGATATAATATTTTATATTTTCACTACTCTACTACATAATGCTAATGGGTTAACTAGAAATTCCAGGCCTTTGCAGTCCACAGGAGATATCCGAGATGTATAGCCTGACACCGAGGTGTTATAATGGCGACAATGGGTCACCGATCAACTGCCAGGACAAGTACTCTCTGGTGCCGAAAACCCAGGTCAAATTCGAGTGCGCTAGTGGGTTTATCCACAAGACCTCGGATCCGATGTCGGTCAAGTGCACAGAGGATGGTGAGTGGGAGGGTCTCAGGGAGCTGTGCGAACAGCAGGAGAGGCACTGCAACTACGAGTGCGATCAGCGACTCAACTACACGGAGGTAACGATGAGCAAAGGAGGTGATGCCACGGATTCACTACAAGCCTCCTGGTTAGTTCCTATTTACAAGTGGAACAGCACGACAATCAAACACGAATTTGTGTGTACCGGCAACTTGATCCGCTTGGATATCGTGCTCACCGCAGCCCACTGCATAAATGATAGATATTCCAGGAAGGAGGACTTCCTAGTGGGCCCCTCGGGCAACCGATCCTCCTCCACGGATCTCAAGTATCTACACAGGGCTAGACATCTAGAGGTTTACAGGTACGTAAGCTAGTAATTCCGAGATAACATTTAATATTCATTTTGGCATTCTGGATCACAGCGCCTACAGCAAGGTCAGCCACATATACGACATTGGAATCGTTGTCTTGGAAAAGCGAATGGATTTCAAACAAGATCAACGGATCGTCTGTCTGCCCTACAATGTGGGTTCTCACTTGGATCTGAAGGGCGATGCGATGGTGAGCTCCTATAACTCCGATGGCTACCTGGCTACGGTCTATGGTCGATTAAGTGAGCCCAGAAATGGTGACCTCAACGTCGTCCTGCATGACGGCTACACTCTGTGCAAAGGAGACAGTGGCAGTGGAGTTATCACCACCTGCGGCTTGGACAACCACAAGTGCCTGGTGGCTGTGGTTAGCCGCAATATGGGTTCCGGCGACTACGGAACCTTTTGCAGCAGTAACGTAACTGCAGCTACTTTGATATCGCCACACCTGCAGGATTACATTGAGCAACTCATCAGGAACAACATAAATTGCCCTGAATAGTGTAAAGCCAAAAAAATACGTTTTAAAATAACGGTCGAAAATGGTTTGGAACACGCAACAATATTTATCGAAGTTTAAAACCTCCTAATCCTTACGGTATGTGGCACAATAATAGATGTCCTTGAAACAAATAGTAACTGAAAACTCAATAAAAAAACACTTTTTCTGTGACGAATAAATAAGTTAGAATTTAAAGAAATAATTAATTATGTTAGCAATACTTCAAAAACTAAAGTTACATTTGAGTATATAGCCTATTTAGGTGTCGCGGAGTGTATGCTTTGGTTGGTTTTCTAAGCTGGCAAACGGTCACACTGGCGGACAGGTTTTTCTTTGGCGAACAATTAACATGGACAATAACATTATCCCGCTCATAATCGTTTTCTAGCCGCTTAAGGCCAGGTGAGATCATCATCATCGCTGGCCGTGAAATGCGCCTGAAGATGCTGCCGTGGAAAGCGTGAGAAGTAGCAGGGAAATCGCTGGAAAGTCATTTGCAACGAAGTACTTAAAGTAGATGAAACTGAACTGAATATGCCGATCCTGCCAATGCTCATTGGGGTACTGCACTTGTCCCTGGTGCAGGCCCATCAGGTGGATGACGCCAAGCACCTGGATGGGTTCACCCTGCCCAGCCTACCCTCGGAACACCTCATCCGGTACCTGAACACCTTTCCCAAGCTGAAACAACAGCTGCCCACGAATCTCACTGGTAAGGGCACCATTTCATCAGCCTGCTGGGGACACGAGCGGGACTGCACGCCAGCTGGCCGCTTTCAGACGCCCCAGTGCCCTGGGGAGCACACCGGCTGGGCTAGGAGCAAGGAGGCACAGGTGAGGACCTTCTACAACCAGGCCGACTTCGGGTACATCCAGGAGCAGCTCTCCCAGCTGACGCCGCAATGTGTGCCAACCTATTTGGGCGATTCCTCGCTAGAGTGCACGCACTATCTGCGCTTTTGTCGGGGGCGGAATCTCCTCTTCGACTTCCGGGACTTAGTGCACCGGGAAGAGCGCATTCGCTACCATATGGATGTGCTGGGACCAGGACAGCTCCTGGGGCACTGCAAGCTGAATCGAACTCGGCTCGCGGGCGAAATGGAGCACATTGGATCCGCTCTGCAGTCTTGGGGTCCGGAGCTGCGCAATTTTGATGTCTTACCTCATCCCGTACTGGATAGCGGGCTCTGCGATGTGGTGGTGAATACGCCCACTTTCATCATGAAAATCGATGCCACGTACAACATGTATCATCATTTCTGCGACTTCTTCAACCTGTATGCCTCGCTCTTTGTCAACCAGTCGCATCCGGCCGCCTTTAACACCGATGTGCAGATTCTTCTTTGGGAGACCTACCCGTACGATTCGCCCTTCAGGGACACTTTCAAGGCCTTCTCGCAAAGACCGGTGTGGACACTCAGCGATGTGGAGGGCAAGCGGGTATGCTTTAAGAACGTTGTGCTGCCGCTGCTTCCCAGGATGATCTTTGGCTTGTTCTACAATACACCCATAGTAAGTGAAGGCAAATGTGTAACAAGGTATTTCTATGGTGGCCTTCTTCTTTTAGATCCAGGGCTGCTCGAATAGTGGTCTGTTCCGCGCCTTCTCCGAGTTCATCCTGCACCGTCTGCAAATTCCTTACAAGCCGCCACAGGAAAGGATCAGAATAACATATCTATCGCGCCGCACAAAGTACAGGCAAGTGCTGAATGAAGACGAGCTGCTGGCCCCCCTGGAGGCCAACGATAAGTACGCTGTGCAGCGTGTGTCCTACGAGAGGTAAGGAATGATCAAAACCTCTCCCTAGTCTTTAGTTTGATGAATTTCCCCGACAGGCTCTCCTTCACCAACCAGTTGGCCATCACACGGAACACGGACATACTCATCGGCATGCATGGCGCTGGCTTGACGCACTTGCTCTTCCTGCCCAACTGGGCCTGCATTTTCGAGCTGTACAACTGCGAGGATCCGAATTGCTACAAGGACTTGGCTCGCCTTCGGGGCGTTCGCTACCGGACTTGGGAGCAGCGGGAGTTGGTGTATCCGCAGGACGAGGGTCATCACCCCGAGGGCGGCGCACACGCCAAGTTCACCAACTATAGCTTTGATGTAAAGGAATTTGTGAATCTCGTCGATGAAGCCGCCAAGGAAATTCTATCCCACAAGGAATTCCCTCGCAAGACATCAGAAAATCCCTCCACAACGCAGCACAACGAGCTGTAGTTTGCCTCAATTGTGATTAAATGCATTTATTTTGCTTTATGCCAGACCCAAAATAAATCGGTATTATACAGAAGAATTTCCTTTTTCGATTTGAATTGATTAAAGTGTGACCATGCTTACGTTTCTGTTCTGTTAACTGAAAAGAGCTGGCTGCTGCAAAATCGTGTATGTTATCGGCTAACTTACATTTCTATTTGTTTTTGTTTACATTTTTCAACCGGCTTTAAACGTTCCTTTATAATTTATAGTTTTATATTTTAGCTTAAGTTCGAGGACTTATAAAAACCAAACAAAATGGAGGCCGAGGTGGTCAGCTTCGTCGAGCACGAACTGAATGAAGTGGATTTGAAATCCTGGAGATCTATCAAGGAAAGTTTGGATAGCTTCCTAGCCATACTGCCCACGGTATTGGGATTTATCCTTTCCCGCCTGCTATGCGGACACCTGCCGATGCTATCCACGAGGAGATTCCTTCTGGAGCTGCTTCTGATTGGATTACCCACCGTGATTTTGATCACAGTGGGGAGTGCCTATAGCTACATCTACTCCCTGGTGGTTTTATTAGCTGTTCTGGTCTATATTTACGGAAATATCGCTCCCAATCCACCGAATTTCGTATATAAGGTCGGTAAGAGACCCATAGTCTTCACTCTGCTGAGAGCAACTGCCTACAGTGGCACCTGTGCCGCCATCCTAGCCGTGGACTTCCCTTCGTATCCTACGGATTACCGGAAAAGCCGGACTTTCGGAGCAGCTGTGATGGATATGGGGATTGGGCTGTTTGTGGTGACCATGGGATTGGTTTCGCATCGAGCTAGGAGCATCACTGATCTCAGAAAACTGAGGAGATCTGTTATTCCATTGCTGATCTTAGGGCTTGCTCGCACCATTGTCATCACGTATATCGACTATCACCAGGATGAGACGGAATACGGCAGGCACTTGAACGCCTTCTTCATTTTGGGATTCACAAAATTGCTGGGCAGTTGCTATAGTCTTTTGGTGAACTCTGATGAACAGCTCCTGGGACTTTCAATAGGTAAGTTCAGAAAAAATGCAATAATGCAATAAACTTTTGATTCTGCGACTTCAGGTTTGCTTTTCCTTCACGAACTGGTGCTCCAACTGGGACTCTCCAAATTTGTCATGTCTTCTGCACCCCATGAAGGGTTTTTCAGTGCCAATCGGGAAGGCTTAAGTTCCCTACACGGATGTGTAGCTCTCTATTTGCTCAGCATTTACTTTGCCAAGTGGTATACCTCCCACCATATCCTCAGTTATCAAGGACTCATAAGCAAGATGAAGAGAATACTTTTCGTGGCCATCCTCTGCTGGAATTTAGTTTTCATAAGTTCTTTTCTAACGGGCATAGCACGTGTAACTTTTAGTTTTGGCTATGTGATCTGGATTTTTGCTGTCTCCCTAAGTCTAATAGTGATTTACGCGTTCTTCTTTGAGCTCAAACTTTTACGACCAGATATTTATTCTAAGAAATCAACTGGAGATGTTGTGGAAAATAGCATATCCTTGCCCACCTTTGTTGAAAGCCTGAACATGAATGGCCTGACCCACTTTATGATCTCCAACTTCCTTACGGGAATGGTCAACATGTCCCTCGACCCGGGCCATCGAAATGATCTTGAATCCGTTGTTATATTGTCTATATATATGTTTGTTTGTGCTGGAGTTGTCTTTCTTATGCTGAAAAAGGGCATACGTGTAGCTTAGTAATAAGAAATTTTGTATAAAATAAATTTTAAAATTAAAAGTACAGGTGAAGGTTTATTTTTAACTGACCACATGCTAAAAGTATATAAAAAGCATACAATTTGTGTAATTCTTTTCTCCCTAAGGACCGCCAAGAGACTCAAAAGGCATGATGTAACCATTCGGCATGACTAGAAAAAGGATGATGGGTGCCTCCGATTTGATCTCGGAGGGAGAGTTGCCTGCATCGGAGTCTTTGTACACCTCGTAAACCATGCAGCCATTGTCGCCACGAATCAACCGGGTCCACAACCACTTTTGGTCCTTGCGTCCTTGAGATTCCTGGGATGTAAGCTTGTCTTTCAGCTGCTGGCAGGCAAGCGAACAGGTGGAAATGGATCGAATCATCCGATCCCTTATCGTGGCACTGCCCGCGCTCTTTCTCAACGGAATATTCTCCGCCGGGTGATCGAAATCCACCCTGGGCGTACGCTGCCGAGGACAACAGGCGGCAGCACTTAGCCGACTAGTGGTCTTGATGCAGGACGATTTTGAAGTAGCCTTAGAACAGCAGGGCACTGGAGGAACTTTTGGACAGCAGCAGCATCGCGTTGCCTTAGGACAACAGATGGTCGACGGCGTGGAGTAGCAGGTATTCCAAGCCGAAGAACTGCTTGCGGAAGTGCAATGTATTGGTGTACAAGGTGCTGATGGGGGGCAAGATTCCTTCTTAAGAGCGGATCCTACGGGATATATATCTTTGCTTTAGGCAACTTTTTTCCGTTGCAGCCATCAATTACTGACCTTGTTTCGCCAACTCCAGCATTGGAATAATTTTTGTGGCGCCCGATAGATAGAGGATGCGGTCCAGGATCGTCATGATGACCTCATCTGGATGCGGACCCAGCATGTCGAAGAGTGGAGCCTGCGGCGTCTTCTCCAATCTAAGACCTGGCGGACACGCACAACACGTCGTCTGAGTTGCACAGCAAGAGCTCATGGTTTCGTCTGCTAGTGTTGGTATAAATAAACACCCAATTTTTTCAAATGATTTTCACCCAAAAAGCCGGACCGGAAGTTAGAGTTCTATGAGTGCTCAGCATGGAGCTGCTTTGTCAGGAGCCAAGGGCAGATGTCAAAGGTGCGATATCCGGCTTAGGCACACGGCGAAGGCGTCACAAAAGATAAGATTTCTATTAAGGAAATGACTGGAATTGCTGGCATTGTCCCTGGGCAGCCAGGATGAGCACAGAGGCCGAGCGGCTGGGCAAGGATATTTAATTTAACGGCGCAAACAAAGACCAAATCAAAGTTCAGCCTCCCGGGGAAGCTAAGCTCACAAGTGACCAGGGTTTAAGGACCGCGCAAATGGCCAGCAATGTGCTCCTTATTGCTGAGGGAAAGCACATCAAAAGGAGTTTCGGTTAGATAATAATCTTTGTACTGTACATACAGATTAGAGTTTTTAAAGCACATTAAATGGTGTCTAGTTGTTCGCAGACTTTAGTATCAGACTTTTGGTATTTTTTGAAGTAATATGTATATAAGCATTAGTGATAATGTTTTCCATATAAAGTACTTACTATACTCATGGCCACTGAAGGGTATCAGGCTTTCGCATAGCCGAGTATATGTTCTTTGGAATTTTTTCTATCCGACTCGAATGTAATTACGGCAACAGTTTCCGCTGCTGATGCGTAGCCTCTGTTCGCCATTCGACTTTGATGCGCTTTTAATGTCATATCCTGGCCAAGGACGAGGGCGTCGTCGGTGAATCTTATCTGATTTGGGCCGGCACAAATGCAATTTCCGTCCGCCAACCTTTCAACCCTTCCTGCCACAAGTTATGCAGAGTTAATAGCTGGGAACCAAATGTAATCATATAGTGTACCAGCAGGCGTGTCTAGAAAAAAGCAACAGGACAAGGCAAAACAGGAGGGGAAACACGAGCACCTGTTCCCATAGGGGGTGGCTTTTTGGCTTTGATGACAGATTATTTTCATTAGCAAAAGAGGCGAATTGTTGTCCATTTCTGGGGAGAGTCGAATTATGAGCGTTAATTATTATGTTCATGTTTTCCCCTGCATATAGAACATGACATCCTGATTGATGTGGCCAACAATCAGGTTGAGAATTGGTTTTCCCGTTTACCGCATCTTTTTGAGCTGCCAATTTGCTGACGAGTTCCTTTTTTTCGACTGCTCGTCAAATCGGATTCCATTCAGCAGGGCTTTCATAAAAAGAAATAAATAAAAACCCAAATATATCTGTGCATATGCATGAGTGTGTCTGCGTGAAGGACTAAGCTCCTGGGCCCTGGGGAAATCGCTTAAGCCGTTCATAATGAATATCATGTGTACATGTGTATGTGCCAGTGTGTGGGAGTGTGGTGACTAAGCCGCAGGACCATTTGGCAACGGCAGCAGAGAATGTGCAATAAATGTCTGAATATAGCATACTTTTGAGGGCCCCTCGTTTGCAGGACACCTACATGGTCCGCTTTAAAGGGGAAGACTTAAATGAATATTATATTTTAATTCAGTTTCCCTAGCACTAGGCAATATATAGTTGTATACGATTGAATAGCCCCCTACTATGCATTCAGAATTTCCTTACAATTTCCATAGAACTTTGCAAAGTTACACATCAATACTGATTCGTTATGGCTTCCTCAAGCGTTTCTCCGCCTTGAAGCCTGCATATCAGCCCACCGAGTTACCACAGGAGTTCGTGACTGGGGCTGAGGCACAGACGCCCTAACAACTCCAGGCACATGGCAAACAAAATGCTTATCGAACAACAGTTTTTATCGGAGCTTATGCGTCATGGCAGCGGGCAGAAGAAGCCCCACTCCCCAGGACCTTTGAAATGCTTTTAGTGAGCGAAATTGCGCAATTGTGGAGCAATCAATGCGAAGCCAAAAAAAGTGTTGAGCAAATCGAAAAGAAATCCAGCACACGGAACGAAATATGGTTTATTGATCTAAACTTGCTTGGCTTATAATAATTACCTGAAATAACTGGTGATGTTTCTTAAAACATTAAAACAACTGTTCCAAGGTATGCAAAAATCCAGCTATCAACGATTTTTCCTAGTTGTTCTTGGACATCCTCTTTTGTGACGGCAAAGTACGAGCTATTTAGTTCGCTATTTTCGATGTTTTTCCAGTGTGAAATCCAGCGATGGATGGACAGACAATCGTTGCCATGCTGACGCACTCGGTCTGGTCCGGGTGCCATCGAAATTGCGTTGCTGTTAAATCGTGCGGAAGCTGATATGATTATGGCCTTCCAAAGTGCACTGCCATGGTCGTCAGTGGAAACCCATTGCCTAGTTGCAGTCCCAGCGATTGCAGCAATTAGCAAATATTTTTGAAAGTGCCCCAAAGTATAACTCCTTTTTTGGGCAATCGCATTAAGTGATTCCGTGTCCTAAGCACTCTACTTAGTGCCCATGGTTATGGGGCCCAGGCATTAAGAAGATTAATTCGCAAAGTCGATTGTTGTATTTTTTTCACTTGGCAAATCTCAGATAACGCTATGCATCATTGTGTCAAAGATTTGACAAATCCTTGGGAGGCCGACAAAAAAATAAGGAACTGGAACAATTTCACATTTCTCAAGTTGAAATGCGAAACCAGCCGTCGGATTTCCCCCATCGATTTGGGCTTCACTAAAAGGAATCATTAAATAAGAAAAGTTTGCTTAGGGAAGTTGCCCCCGTTTTACAGGAAAACAAATGTAAGGAGCTTGATAAACTCACACAAAGACGAAAACATTGCGAAAAAATTGCAATAAAAAGCCGAGACAGGACATTGCCCCTCAGCTCAGTGCGCATTTAATAAAGCCGCACAAATGGAACGACTTGCCTCGGTTCTCCCTTCACTTTTGCCTCATTTTTTTTTTTTGCGGCACAGCAAAGTCAGCAGCGTAACCGCAACACGTTAACGGTTTCGGTTTCACTTTGTGATTTACAACAACAGAAATCGGGGATTGTGTATCCCAACCCCTCGTCAACGTCTGCCATCCTGGCCTCAGTTTTTTTTCGTCCTGCGCCTGGCGCGCTCATGTGTGAAAAGGTACTTTGGGAGTTCCCTCAGACGACAATCGTTTTCCCCAGGATCTCCGGCTTCAGGCTGTTGCACTTGCCGAGGAAGGGATATTTGAGAGATATGAACCCCCTTCAGATTCTATTTGGCTATGGGTGTACCAGTATACAAATTACCCTCCCAAGGGAATCGATTGATTTTAGCCGATTAAGCTGATATCGCAGATCACATTTTGATTTCATTTGTACCTTTGATTTGGAAAGCAATGATCTAAATTCCAATAAAAGGTTCTGTCTGGTAAATAGAGAAATTTCAAATGTTGGCATATCGATAGAACTGTTTCAAAAAACAACCTGCGAAATTAAAATTCAAAATCGGTAGGTGGCCACTTCCAAGTCATTAAATTCATTTAGAACGGCAAAGTTAAATGAACGAAACTTTTCCACGTGCCGCACATAGACAAAGATAAAGATATAGATGGCAACAGGGGCGCTCGCGTTGTCCCAACAACCTGGAAGGGCAGGACACCACCCATCCTGAGCCTTGGACCTTCCACCCCCAAAACCCATGGCATTCTTCGAATGTTATCGGGCGGACAGCATCATGCATATATTAAGCGTAAATTGCCTTGGCACTCATTCCGAAGAGCTAATAGAAATGTCTGCTAGTTAATTTGGCGTCATGAAGTTGAATGAATTTTTTGGGAGTCGGTTGCTCAGGAGATGAATACACTTTGAAGTGGTTGGGGCAGAAAGAAGAGCAATATTTCAGAAATCTGTCTAAAACTGTCGTAGAGCTGAAAACTCGACAGTTTTGTGTGGCCGACAACCAATGCTAATTATCCACATCACTTTTTGAAGACTTGTAAAAATTTTATTTTTTTCCATTTTTCTCATTTTTTAAAAGGGGTTACATCACAAAATTTTGAAGAAAATGGCCAAAAAATAAAAGGTCCAGATTTGAACTCCAATCGATTGGGCGTCAAATTACGAGCTCAACGAGGTATGACATTCCACATTTCAGCCATTTTTTACGTTGTTATGACAAAATTAAGCACATTTTTATGCCGAAAATGTGAATAGGAATAACTTGCCAGACACTAAATCATACTCTTTTTGTTTTTACATATTTTTATTTGAGGAGGAAAGCATTTCATCAGCATTCTCTATTTCTTGAATATCACTATTTTCAAGCAAGTTCGTTTCGGTGTTTTCTGCGATATTATTATCCGGCTCCTTAGTGTTGTCTGAATCAATATTTGATGTATTTCTAGGTATTGTTGTTTCACCAGTGTCATCACCTTTTTTTGTTAATAATTCCGTGTCTTCATTGGAACTTGTTGGCATTTCTATATCTATTTCGGCTTTCTGGTTTCTTTCTGTTGGCGTTTTCTTAGGGCTATCGTCCAGTGAAATCTGTGATAATCTAGGCAAGTCCTGAAAAGTTTTGAGAAAATGTCTCCTAAACTCTTCCTCGGGATCTTCAGCATCGTCTGTTTGCATTAAATCTCTTTTCTTTTTCCTCGCGATCACTTCACTAATATCTAAAAGCTCCGAACTAAAATCAGAATTGAGTTCCGATTCCATTGAATCTGCACTCATCCGGCTCCCACGACATATACCTCCATAGATTCCGGAGCTATCCAGGTGTTTATCGTCTGTGTTATGAAGATCTTCAGGCTTGCACTTGTCACATAAAAGTGATGAAAGTGATTCGGAAACAGTGTTTGGAATTCTGTCTTCATTAGTGTCGATGGAATGCACATCATCTGGTGAATTATATGTGTGTGTGCTGAGTAACACTTCCGGGGCACTGTGTGTCACAGGACCTTCTCCAGATTCTGTAGGGGACCCTCTCTCCTCTACATCGGTATTGGAAACCTCCTCCATTTGACTACATTTTTAAAAGTGTATACAAGTATATTTTTCCGTTTTCCCATGGAGCAGAGCCTACTACTTCAGTACAAACATTCTTATTTCCTACATTTTGAGTAATAGATCCACACACTTTTTCTTACATTATGTGGATTATTTTTCTTAATTATTTTCCCGATTTTCCTTTGATCTTATATAGTCATTACCTTTTGACACTTTTGCCATTTTCTAAATAAAACATAAAATAGTAATAACGATATAGAATGCTATAGTCGAGTTCCCCGACTATCAGATACCCGTTACTCATCTATTGGAAGGTCAAACGAGAAATTTCAATATTTTCTGGAATTTCGGTAAAAAGTGGGGGAAAAAATAATAAAATGAAAAAAAATAAAAAAATTTTAAAAAGTGTGGGCGTGAAAGTTTTGTGTGCTGGTGTGCATATTTTTCAACGAATCTAGTATACCCTTTTACTCTACGAGTAAAAAGATAAAAAGGAGAGCAGAAAAAGCTCATAGGACTGCAATAAGAGGAGTGAAAACTATGAAAGCTGTGGTCCATTGACGTCATCAGGCGAGAGTCTCCCTCGAAACGCAATGTTCAAAAAAAGATATGGCCATTCCGTGCAATAACAAATCTGAAAACCACCCTTTCCAATCGCGAGAAGCACCTTTTGGCGGTGGGCGGGGCAGCAACCCTTTTTTGCGAGTGGGCGACGGCGACACTCCATTAATTGAAGCCCCAGGATTACGGGAAATGGCATTGTCTTCCGAAAGAACACCCGTTGCGAAGTCCCGTACAAATCTTTATAATCCCCGATAATTTCGTTAATGGCTTTAATCACTTACTCGCAGGAATGAAAGGATTTGAGCGAAGGAGCGGGCATAATTTAAATAACATTTAATTTTATGCGGAGCTCGGCGAAATTTTCGAATGGCGGCCATTGCGATGGAAGGTCCTGGCTCCTCCTTTTGCTCCCGTGTCCTTGTGTGCATAAGGTCAAACACACGCATACACGCACACACCCACGTTCTATGTACACGGATACAAGTATGGTTATTTACCTAAACGCTACAGGAGCGTGTAGATACATATATACGCCCAATTAGGCGGCAACAATTGTTGCCACTTGCGTGGGGAAACTCAACACTCCCCTCGGCCGAAACTCAACACGAAAGTTTTCCATTTTCCGGACGGGGAGTCCAAAAAGCTTCGCCTTTGCGGCGGCAGCTATAAAAACCCCGGCCCAGTGACTGGCGCCACACACAAACCACAAACGACGCCCAGGAATCGGACGTGAGAAGGGAGCAGGTCCCGGAAAAACAGGAAAGCAGAAGGAAAACAAAAGGGGCATCCCCCTCGACACATCAAGGACATGCCTTGGCAAGGACCTCGACTCCTGTGGCTGCACTGCCGACGGAGCTGGCGGACGTTTGGATATGGAAGTGGAAGTGGGAGCCCAAGAAGCCAGCTCACAGTTGCTTGGAGTCGCTATCAAAGGATCCCATAATTCGGGCCACGTTCTTGGCGCTGTGCCCAGCTAGTATATCTCTGAATGAACCTAAAGAATATCATAGCAACATCATATCAATCCATATCGATCTAGAACCTATGATTAGTTAATTGTTTTATTGTGGTATTGTTTTGTACTTGTATTGGAAAACAAATGTGATTTTATGTAAATAAAATGAGTTACTTGTAATCAGAGAAGCTCTTGGAAATTGGTAATATTTGTTAAAGGAGTCTAGATAATAATGTGTAGTTCAGATATTTTATTATTTCGTTGGGTTTATGTTTTGTGCTCATTTGAAGCATATTCAAATTTAAGGAAGGGAGCTTAGTTAGTAAACAAGCCATTAATTAAAAAGTTGATGAATATCTTAAGTCGTAAATGATCTACTTAAATTCGAAATCTCCCATTTAGTTATTCAAACTCTAGAGTAATGCAGAGAGCAGAGAGCAAACAATCGATGCGATTGAACCGCCTACAAAGGCGACCATCAAGTTGGCAAATAACCAGGTCTATTCCGACCCTCCAGGATGCCCAAAAGTAATCAGAAAAGTTTTGGAATTGTGGTGGGCGGTGCTGAAAATTTGCATATGTCAACACGAAAGAGCAGCACCAATTGCCCTGGAACACAATTTATTTGCCCAAGAATGGAAGGCAGTGAGGCACAAGAGATACATTTGCTCGATGAGCAAAATTGAAATGTTAATTACACTGGGGTTGTTCCACGATACGGAACCGCTTGGCAAACAGTTTAAAAAACAGTCGAGAGCGATGTTTAGACACTGGCTAAGCAAACAAACCGGCTGGTTCGTGATTTGTTTGCTCAGCTCTTAATCGGACCGGGTTCTGAGGAGCACTCCTCATCCAGAGAAGCCAGCGGCAGCGAGAGTTTAATATGCCATCGATAACCCCGGGTGGCAATATCAGCAGCTAAACGCTTGCAGACAAAGTTGGGGGATGTTCTGCCGTATCCTCCTCACTACGCCATGCCATGCCATCCCACAAATATCCTTCTGTTGACGATGATGAGGTGTGAATGCCACCGCAGGATCTGCCTTTGTTTTATGCCTTCATCATGGCGAATCCTGCTGTTGTGGCATCCACTTGAGGTTAATTGAATTTCATTGCGTCCTTGCTAAATGGAAAACGTTTTTTCCCCATTTAATCTGGTTAGCTGAAATGTGTGAGGTACCTGCATAGCAGCATTATTAATTGAATCCGATGGTAATTGAAAAGTTTTCAGCCTTCCTAATTTGATCTGTACAGGAGCCACTGTTTTAGTGCTGTTTCGGAAAGGTTTTCGGTGGAGTAAAATTGGAGCTTCACTTATTTCTAGATTTATTTCAGATGCTCATGCTAACACTAAATTATATATGATTATGTTCTGAAACATACATTTTTTCTCACTACTGACAACTTCCCACATCGAGTTTCCCAACTTTGGAGACACATTAAGAGGATTTGGCGTGGCACGTGCCTTCGCACACTTGAGATGGGTGATGAAAAATAATAAAAAACGAAAGTGGAAACTTGAGGAAAAGCGCGGAATTAGCATTTGCTTCAAAGAGCGTGTTTATTTGGCTATTTATTCAATTTTAATTTCAATTTTTTCCGCGTCTTTCTCCCTTAGAACAATCAGTCACGGCCGCAGAAGAAATAGATGCGATTACATTTAATTGAATTTTTTCCGCGCTGTGTTTGCTCAAGGAAAGCCAAAAACAGAATTGAACGTATTGTATTACCAATGGAGAGGGAAAGGAAAAGAATAATAAAAATGCGTATCGCGATTGCCAATACAGGGAATAAAAGTCGGAAAACGTGATGCGACCAAGTATTCAAATTACGGATTTTGTGGGGCAAACTTGGGGGCGAAATTGAGCTGAGCTTGTTACATTAAAGTTGCCTCATGCATTATTCACATTCGAACTAACAAGCGGCAAGTAGTCATAAAAATCCCGCACAGAAATTACCTGTTGATGAGCCACAACTTGCTAGTTTAACCCTCAATTACCGAAGTTCGGGGTTGAAATTGAATCACATGAGCGGGGAAACCTTTGCGCTCCCTGGGGAAGAAAATTAAAATTTCATCAGGCTGGCGGTATTAAGAAACACTTGGCGCGCTAAATCAATTTGCCATTTTATAAATCTTCATTTCGCACCTGGGACGTGATCCTGGCGGGCGGAAGCCACAGGTGGTCCAGCCAAAGGAAGGCCAGGAGCTGTGGGTTAAGCCCCAACTGAAACGTGACTCCACGCGGCAGCCAAGGATTTGCACTTTTACTTGTATTTATTTTTTGGCAAGCATTTTATTTGCCCGCTCATTTCAATTAGCTAAATGCCCTGTTTCACACCATTTGCCTGATTGTTTTCCTTGACCAAATGTGTGGGTAGATGTGTTTTTGGGGGTTCATTGCCCGTTTGGGGGCATTTTTAATTTCTGTAATGCCCTTTGTGATCTCTAAATGGTTCGCTACTAAGTGCACTCCAGTTGCGTATTATTGTTACACTCATCGTCGACGACAGTGAGCTTTTAAGAAAATTATACAATTGCATTATGACGCCGCACTGACCGCTTTACAGCCTCATTTCGTTCCTTCTCAATGCTGCTATCTCTAACGATAGAGTTTAAAATTGCCAACGCATCGAAAAGCCAGGGGAGGTCCTTTGGGCCTCACCACGCCCAAAAGCGCAGTCGAGGGAAAGGATGGATGGGGGATGTACTACAAATCGCTCAACGGGCGGCCCACGAAGGACGACTGTCAATGTTTTCGCCTTTTTGCAGTCGGTGGGTGGCATAATTTATGGCCGCCCATCGTTTCCCGTACTCCGTATCGAGTTTCCCGCATCTCCACTGCGGTTATTAAAATGCTCAATGCTCTTACCCATACCTATGTCCTGGCCACACTCCGGTTTTCAGTCACGGACGCCAGGACATCAGGACTCCACTTCGCATTGTCGTCAGACAACTGCAAAAAAGTGTAGCACACTCGCCGGCGCCGTCTAATGGCAGTTGAAGGACCAAGCACAGTGCAACTTAAACTAGTTTATAGAAAATGTATTAAATTATTTAACTCATAGCCTGGCAATAGCTTTGAATTACTTTTGGCAGTACCACTCTTTTTTGGCCTACTTTCAGACATTATTTGAAGCCATGGACATTGGAAAAAGTTTTATAAGTTTACCACTTAAAGTTTTCACTTCAATATCATGGCACCATGCCCACTGTCTAAGCTTCCCTTTCGCCTGATAATCAATAAAATGTTTTGGCATTTACTTTCATTGTTTGCTGCTGCCGCTGCAACGCCCCCTTTGCCACGCCCACGCTCAAGGACCATATTTGCATATATTTCGAGTGGCAAGGCATATTGCCGGGCTTTATATCCTGCCGTTCGCCGTGCTCAAGTCCTTTGCCACCGGGCGTGCCTCGAGAATTGTTTCACTGTCGTCGTTCATTTGGCTTGATGTCCCAAAGACTGAAGACACAACATGAAAGTCGCTTAATCTACTTAAATGTCTTTGAGTTTAGAA